TTTTTGGACATCTAAAATCTTAAAGTTTGATACTTTATGGTTTTGAGACACATTTGGTCAATGGATCCGGAATTTGGGCTTAAATGCTTAAGCCATTAAGCACTTATTGGAGTTTGAATACATCGAGGGTACGCCCCGCGTAGGGAGCAGTACGCCCCACGTACGCAGTTAACGTCCTCGCTTCCCAGTCAACTCAGGGCTCGCGTACACCATGCGTAACCTTGGGGTACGCCCAACATACACCCTTTAATGGGTTTTTGGCAAGTTGGGCTTCGGATTTGTGCCACCTTTGTGCCAGTTTGGTTTGGGCCCTTGCTGGACTTTATGAATGGAAATGTCTTGTGCCATTTATGGATATGGACCGTAGGTTGAGGCCCAATTAAAGTGTTGGGCCCAATTTGTAAATTTGGGCTAATTATGGGCCTTGTATATTTGGACCTTTGGATCAAAGATTTGGAGTTAGGCCTTGGCCCAAATTAGGGAAAGGGTAAATTGGACTATTACCCTATATTTTGGCCCTTTAGCCAAGATTGATATTCCTGTTGATTAGTGTTCATTTATTGTGATCGTCTAGGATTTTCGGTGAGTCAGCAGCCAGAGGTTTTCAGTTCAGTTCGACATTGTGAGGTGAGTTTTCCTCACTGTACTTATGGGTCGAAGGCACCAAGGCTGGTCCGCTGGATTGTTATCCGGGTTATTATATGCTTGTATGTTGTTATGATTTGTTAGATCGATATCCTGGTAGATAGGATGTTGTTATGTTGTTATGATATGTTAGATCGATATCATGGTAGATAGGATGATGCTATGCTTATTGATCTGTATGATATGTGCTTACCTGTTGATTGATTATGTGGTTATGAGTTATGTATATGTCGACATGTGTGTGTGGTCAGGTTGAGGCGGTCCTGCTTTGTGCTGAAGGCCAACATACCCACGACGGTTCGGATAGACTGTAGGCCCTACGAGGCGGTCCAGTCAGGATGAAGGCCCAACGAGTGGTTTGGATTGGCTGTAGCCCTATGAGGTGGTCCATTCACGCCTAAAGCTCGGGAGCATTCCGGATAGGCTGTAGGCCATACGAGGCGGTCTAGTCATGCCGAAGGCTCGACAACAGTTCAGATAGACTGTAGGCCCTGCAAGGCGGTCCAGTCAGGCTGAAGGCTCAGTATACGTGCTACTATTTGTATATATTATATGTTGGGTGTTGGTACTTTGGGGGAACTCACTAAGCTTCGTGCTTACAGTTTTGGTTTATGGTTACAGGTACTTCAGATGATCGCGGAAAGGCGAATGCTTGATCGTGCACCACCTCATAGTTTATGTTATGATTACTGAGATTTCTTTAATGTTAAAATATTTTGAAAACAATGGATGGTTTTGGAATGTTTAAAAAATTCAAAATTTTTATTAATTTTATGGATGTTACAGTGTCTGCACTGTTGCGCTGAAACTTCAAAAAATCATAACTTCATCACATGAAGTTGGATTTAGGCGTTCTCTACATGCGTGCTCTTGATTTTACAACCATTACAACTTTCGTTTAGATCACCTAGGCTAATAATCAACATATCTGAAATTCACTATTTATGATGCACTGAGCCTTATCATGTTGAACACGAAACTTCGTACGATCCTAATTTTTTCATACGAAGCTAGATTTGGGTGTTTCTTGTATCCCTAAAATCTTCATTACGACTACTTCAACTTCCATCAAGGTTATTTATCTTAATTAATATTTTATTTTAATATATGACCTATTTATTAGGTTTTCATTTAATATAATATACACATAACATAAGCACATAATCAAATTGCTGACCATCATCGGTTATATATTCAATTAATGCGTGGAGAAAAAATACTAACGTTACAATTAAACAATGTAGAATGCTCTAATGTTTTTTTATTAATTCGTAAAGGAATGAAATGACAACTTACAATTTAATACCATGAACTCTATTGTCTTTATTCTTTTGAATATAAATACAATTTTTTTTAATGTTTTATTTGAGATTTTTTTTTAGAAATATATCCTAACAACAATTACAGCCTTTATCTCGTATAAAATAAAAAATATAATATTGATTTTTTTTGTACTTCGAAAGAAGAACAATGGAAAATAAAATATCATATATACAGATACATTTTTTTCATGATAATTGATAAAGTGCCAAATAATATTTTTGGAGTATTTATCAAATACTTAAAAACGATCCAATTACAGAGCACTGCCATCTCCATCTCCATTCGTCTGACTTGGGGTATTCAGAATCTCATAACTTGTAAGTTTTCTGTGTGCTTATACCTGTATAGATTTAAGTCGTTGTTGTGTCTGTATCCTAGGTTTTCGTGCTATTGCTTTGATCCCTTGTAATTCTTGAATTCTGCACAATTTATGCTTTTCTATAGATTATCTTGGAATGATCATGGTAATTTGAAGTTTAACTCCTCGAATTTGTTTTCCCCTTTCTTCCTGTTCGATTTAAAAAGTTGATCTGTTGATTTTTTTCAGCTAAATCTTCTTGTAGGGCTGGAGATTACAGCAAACTAAAATATAAATCTTATTCGATTGTTAAAATTTGTTATTGGTAACTTATAGATCGGATAACTGAGGGCTTTTCTAGCTGATCCGAATCGGCTATAGTTTATCGTTTGTTGTTTTTGTTAAATTAAGCTCTGTGTTGATGAAATCGTGAGGAATGATGGTATAGTATCATATGCGTCGAAACTTAAAGTTAAGAGTCGGCTATTTCATGTATTTGGAAGATCATTCAAACTTGTTGCAGGACATATCTTAGCATCTGTTTCTTTCTGTAGTTATTTCTTTGTGAAAGTTATTACGCATGTTGTGAATTGACAGCTTTCCAAATTCAGAATACCTAACATAACGAATCCCAGATTCTCCAGAGCGTAGTTTATTGAAGTGGAATCAAGCCATGGGTGATGGTCCTAAAGGGATAGAATTTTTCCCAGATCATTTTAAGGCTTCAACTTCTGATGTTGATACCCCTCAATCAAGAAGTTCATCACTCTCTCATACCAAAACTGAATTTGAGGTACGATTCCTGGCATGAATATATAATCAGATATCATAAATATCTTCAATAAATTGATTTCATTCAAGTCATTTGATCTGCATTAGCATAGTTCAAGCAGCCGATTGTGGGCTAGCAGAAGATTAATGAGTGCTGCATCTATCTTGAACTTGTGTAGCCTAAGGAGACTATCTTGGGGAAATGATAAAGATGAGCAAGATAAGGTCAATATTAGGATTTTCATGTTCATATTTTCTTTCCATCCTTTAACTCACATTTGATCTTTTCTGAAGATTCTTCTCGTTGTATTGGGATTTTTTTCAGGTTGTGTTATCTGTTAAAGAAGTAAAAAGCCTTCAATCAGAACTTGCTGAATTGGAGGAAAGAGAAGCTCTTCTGAGAGCTAAGTAAGGGGAACTGATACTTTCTCTTTGTATTAGCAAAAATATGTTTTTTTTATTAATCTTCTGTAATCTCTGTTACTTGATGCAGACTGGAACATATTGATGAGATTCTGCGTTCTGCTCATCTTTCTGGCTACTTACACATGCGAAATGTATTTCCTTTGAATCTTTTCCTTTTTTTTTTTTTTTTTTTTTTGATTTGAGAAAATTTCCTAAAATGATGTTTCACAGAGATGGGCAGCATTACCTGGCGAACCTCTCCCTCTTGATGACATGGAAATTGATGATTGGCTTCCACGTTTTGTTGTTCTTCTAGGACCCTGCATCTTCTTCTATTTCCTGTCCATGGGTAATTACTAATTATAGCCATTGTTGTTTTATATGTTTCCAAATTCATGATTTGATGATTTACATAAACTTTCTAAGCCTAATAATGGTTGCACATTGCAGATTTAAGTCCTCAGGACTCGTGTCTGTTATCTGATGTTGTTGAAGTAGGGCCAATGCCACATATTACTCAAGAAGAAGGGGAAACTCGATATTATTTTTATATAATAACTCGGTATGGATTGAGATACGAGTGTTCAAGCACTTCTAAAATCCAGGTACACACATTCTAATACTGTGTTTCTTACAGGACCAAAAAAAAAAGAATAATAATAATAAAATTTTGTATTATTGACACCAGTACAATTATTTGTACATATAATCACATTTTCATTTTATTATTTGTTAGGTGGATAATTGGGTGACGGCATTGCAAGACAAATGCAAATTGGGATCACAATCGAGCACCACCATGTGATTTTAAGTTGTTAAATAACTTGATAAGATTAGAGTGTTGCACAGGTAGTCGCATTCATGGTGGGTTAGGAAAGCTTTTGTACAAATTAATAGTGTAAAATGTGAGACTAATGGATTTTGCAAAAAGTGTGCCAAAAATTCGGTAATTTTGTGACATTTTCTGGTGCTGGTATGCTGTTTTTGATCAACGTGTTATGGGCAGTGGAGCGGAGATCTTTTTGAAGGAATAACATTTATAACGTTCTTACTTGATTTGGTGTGTTAAGTGATTATTACATTTTTAATAATCTACAAAATTTATTATAATCAACAAAAATATGTAAAAAAAGGCATAGTGCTTGATCATTATGCCACTTGCAATGTTCCCTTAATATTTTTGAAAATATAATCGCTAGTTGATATGCCTAATGTGTGTGTATATATATATATATATATATATATATATATATATATATATATATAATTTTTAAAACTTTTATTTTTAAAGGTAATTAAAGATTAATCATTTTTTTGGAGCGACAAACTTTTATTTTTAAATTCTTTAATTCTACTTCTGTTCAAGACATAAACTCTTAACCTCAAAATGATAACACTGGACTAGAAACTTAGAAACCTTTTGGTTAAAGATTAATCAATTGAGTAATATTTTAGTGTATCAAAATGATTCATTCCATTTTAGCAGTACTATTTGTTAATTGTTGTTATCAATTGGTTCATTATTACTCTGGAAAGAAACTAATTAAGCTAACTAATTAGCCACGTGGTTAGCAACGGATGGCTGGAAAGATCACATCTTGAGCTACGTGGCGCGGATCTAGCGGTCAACTTTTTTTTTTTTGGACGGCCCTTTGCGTCTCACATAGGGTTTTTAGTTTTGACATCTGATTCGACAAACTCACACGCGGCATATGATTCCATAATTATTTGGTACTTTTCGCATAAAACAACCCTCAACTTCACATCGCTTAAATACAAACCCTTAAAGTTTTGTTTATTGCCAAGTTAAACCATTGCACCATGTTTATTGGTTATTTGATTTCGGTAGGAGCAAGACCACTGAAATTTTCGATACGAACCAACACCAAAATATGAGACTCTGATATTTTAAAATCATGAAATTTAGGATTTAATACTTGTACTAGTACGAAAAGCAATACTATACTCAGTACCGGTAACATTTTTCACATATTTTGGTTGATACCGGTTCTATAGTTTGCTCAACCCAATTTGATTGCACTTTTCCCATTTTTTGGTTAAAGTTGTGCATTCGATTTTTCAAAATTATGTTGGAGTTATATATAATAATGTTTTTTAATCGCAAACTAATATATTTTTAAATTATTATTTATGTCTCAAACAAGACTTAAACCCATGACCTTTCAAATAAGAAAATCATTTCGTACCGTTAGGTTAAAGACCATTTGGTAAATTTATTCGTATAAGTTGATCACATTTTATTTGAAACAACTAACATGTTTATTCATAAGACTTTACTTTCACACAAAAACCGTCAAACACTATAATAATATTCATAACTATTTTATTCAAATTATGAAATTTGTTTTTCTCTATCGTTTTCTAAAAAAATATTTGATACTATAATATATTTGTCAAAGCATTATTATAGACCATTATCATTAACACATGATAGTAACAAGATATATGTGGTGATATATTAAACAGGGTTATTTTGGAAAAAGAAAAAAAAATAAAAGAAAAAGAAAATCAACCAATGAAAACACTCTTTGGAACTTTCTCACTTCTCTCTCATCTTGTTAGCTAGTCTTCTTGACGAGCCCCTTAGCACAAGCTGGGGGGGGGGGGTGGTGGCACATAGATTTTTTTTATTGCTACCTAGGCTTAACATTTGTGTATTTTAAAAGTTGGGGAGTGGTAAGTTTTATAGGGTTTATTTTGGATAAGAAAACTAGAGTCAGCCAATGAAAACACTATGGTTGTAACTAACGTAAGACGTGACTTGACGGCATAGCCAAGCCTCAAGCCGTGCGAGACATGACGGAGATTGACATTTTACAAGGCGTGACAAGGTGCCAAAATTATATATATATATATATATATATATATATATATATATATATATATATATATATATATATATATATACTATCATCCATTTATATAAACAAATCATATATTAACAAAAACCTAATGTTTTCACATGTTAAAATACAATTAATCTTACACATAGTCACTAGTTTACTATCATACTAAAACTTTACAAAAGTGTCATCTTTCAAAAAGTCGACGAATCTTACAAAAACATGTTATATCCTTACATCAAATCCAAGGAGAAATATAAAACCCTTTGTGGTCACGGAAGTTCACCCGATGACTTCGGTTATTCGCAAAACATGTCGAGGTAGGAGGCCAAAAAAGACTTATTTTCACTCCTTTTCATGCCTTAGTCCCTTACTACATTATTCGGACACCAAACTTTACACGACCTAGGTCGTTTTCAGGACGTCTACACCACTCATCGACGTCATGGCATACCTTAGCGCCATCATGACACATTATTTAGAACCTTGGAACACACTCCTTAGAAATTTCTCTCTCCTCTCGTTAGCCTGCTGACGAGTATTCTTGGCTGGCCCCTTTATCGCAAGCTAAGGGGTGGTGTTTGGCAACCTTATCGACCGGTGACGACCCCCTCTTAGCGAGCCAGTCCCCATAGTCTTAGCGAGCCACTCCCCATAGCCTTAAGATTACTTTTATGCCTAATATTGAGCACATCAGTCAATCAATCAATTAATCTTACATTTCATTGAACTCATTTCATTCATTCATGTCTATTATCTACTTCATTTCACATACATGATGTAACCTTTAAAAAAACTCGTCTCTTTGCACTATTATACCATATGTATTTTTTTTTATAAAACATTAAAGGCATTAAAAAATCGTGCTTTTTTACATTGGTTGTCCATGCATGTATCGATAGTAACTTACCGAACAATACATAACTACATAAGGCTCTTATTTATTTATTTATTGTTATTTTTTAATATGTCCTTTTTCTTAGTTATTATATATTTTTTTTTCTCATATATCATATTCCATATTGGTTTTGAGCCCAATTTAGGACAATGTTAAAATACTTCTACAATACTTCAAACATTATTTGAGTTTTTATTTAATATTGAAAAGAGCATTAGATGCCAAATGTAGCAATTCTAAACTCCACGGATTAGTTTGCAAACTAAGGAAAACCTCAAGGTCTATTTTTTATTTTCTCCTTACTTTCCACCTACATTGGGAACCTCAAATACCCAATCGCCGTCGGTCACTCTTTGAAGTGCTCTAGTCTCACTCTCTCTCCAAACAACAAAAAAACGAAGAGATTTCTTCGTTTTTGTTGTTACTTTCTGACTAATTCTTCGATCAAAGGAGGAGAATGAGTTCTCAGATATTCAGATCCGCTTCTCGAGCTGCTAGGTCTTTCATCTCTTCTGCTTCTAAGCAGAAGCCTCGTCTATTTTCCGGTATAGTCTTCTAACACTTTACCATTCAAGTTATTTTATTCCATAAACATGTCTCTGTGTTTTGATCTGATTACGATTAAGTTTATTGTTATGAATCTGTTGCTAAACTGTATATTGTATATTTGTATATTTCGGTATGTTTTAAGTGATGCACATTCATTCTGTTACCAGAAAGTTGATTATCTAATATGTGAAATGAATCATCGATTATGACTCTCGGTTACTTTAATTAGAACAATATTGAATCATTTTTGGCGGAGTTTTCCACTTCGTGTTATGGTTTATTACTTTTTTTTTTTTGAAAACATAAAATAATATTATGTGATTGTCATTGGTAGTTGGATGACGGATTTTTCTCAATCTTTTGAATACGATGCGCCCCCACTTTAGATCTGAATTTACCATTAACATGCTAGTGGAAGCATCGGATGAATGTAGCAACATATAACAGAACAATTATAACGACTTCGACGAACATTTTGTACACAAGATCTTGATACAATCTAAAGTTTACTTATCGATCTCCTTCCTCTTATTGTAGAAGGACGATTTGCTGCTGCTGCAACAGCAGTTTCGATCAAAGGAGTGCTGCCAGCTGTTGCTTCTTTTGGGCGTCGTAAATCTGGAAGCACCTCCGGCACATGGATCGCTGGAGCATTAGCACTCCCTGCTGCAGGTTGTAACTTGTATCTGTTATTTGTTACAAGTTTCCTTTGATGTTACTCTATCAAAACATGTCTACCAGCTGCATCAAGATTTAACTAAAATTCTGTTTTTATTGTATCAGCTTACATGCTTCAGGAGCAAGAAGCACATGCAGGAGAGGTATTACAATTTGATTGATAGCTCGATAGTCTTTCTTCTTCTTCTTCTTCTGATTAATTTATGTATGAAGCATCAATGATCCCTTGTGTTGCAAATATGTGCAGATGGAGCGAACTTTCATTGCTATCAAGCCAGATGGTGTGCAAAGAGGACTGGTAGTCCAACTAACCATCATTCTTCTATATATGTTCAGATGCACCATTTATAAACGGAATATTTCTTATCTTTTTTTTTTTTTTTTTTTTTTTTTTTTGTTCCAGATTTCAGAGATTATAGCTCGGTTTGAACGTAAAGGGTTCAAATTGGTAGCTATTAAACTTGTGACCCCTTCAAAGTCATTCGCCCAAAAGCATTACCATGATCTTAAGGAACGACCATTTTTTGATGGGCTTTGCAACTTCCTTAGCTCTGGCCCTGTTCTTGCCATGGTAACAATACAAGAATCATCTCATTCCGTTCTTTGTTATACAATATGAAAACCAATACCTTATATGACTGCTGATTAATCTTGCTATAGGTTTGGGAAGGAGAAGGTGTGATTAAATATGGGCGTAAACTCATTGGAGCCACAGACCCACAGAAATCAGAGCCTGGAACCATCAGAGGCGATTTGGCTGTTGTTGTTGGAAGGTATTATTTATTTTTATTATTATTAACAGGTCTCCTCTATATTATATATATCATGTCTGGATAAATGATGTGATGATTTGGCATCTTTTAGATTCTGATTGTTTGGTTATGGATGATTTTGTAGGAATATCATCCATGGAAGTGATGGTCCAGAAACGGCAAAGGATGAAATAAACCTATGGTTCAAACCAGAGGAGGTGTCAAGTTACACAAGCAACCAAGAAAAGTGGGTGTATGGAGACAACTGATGCCATGGCATTTAATACTTCCTCGCTAGTCAAAAAATTACTAGTTTCTTTTCTTGGTGCAAGAATAAGAAGAGCAAAAGAATAAAATTGTTTTCATTTTCTTCTATAGAAATGAGGAAATCAGGAAATCAGTGTATCAGTTTTGTTGTTTAAGGAGAT